ATAAGGTAGACTAGAGAATGAAAAGCACCGTTCCATTAAAGACAGTGTTGAAACCAATAAATAAAATTTTATTTCTAACTTTAAAGTCAGCTTTAAAGAAGAAAAGAGATTTTTTGTTTAAAAAAGTATGGGACAACAAGCATACTCAATTCATTTTTTTAACATGGGACCATCATCTATTTAAATATATATGTATAAAATACGAGCTATTTAATATTAGGCTGGTCACATCAGAACCATACATTTCAGAAAGGACAAATGTTGAAAGAAATATTTTTACACTTCTGCCCATTAAGTTTCTGGTGTTATCTTTCAACAACCCTGTGATCCAAGTGGTAATCTTATGCTTCCTTCTGGACTGCTAAATGCTGTCTTAATAGAAACTCAAGTTAATCCTGTTAATAGAGCTTGCTTCTGCTGATACCGGACTTTTTTCCATCTGAATCTCAGCTAAAATAGCAACATTAGCAAAGTTGCTTAAAAGCTAGTTTAGTTTTAGTTTTACCTTTTTCAGTTAAATACTTTAACAGTACAACTGCTTTTAATCAAAGTTAGTTGGAGAAGAGCTACAACAAGTACAGTATGTATTTGGGGCTTACTTAGCTGTTTTTTAAAGTTTCAGTTCAATAATTACATCCCATGAAAGCAGAGTTAGAGAACAAGAGGGAAATTGAGCATAATATTTATTTTTAATCAACCACACAAATCAATAGTTGTTTGTCTAAACTTGAGTGTGAATGCACATTTTGGCAGGTGAATAATTAGCCTGACACAGAAATACTGAGTATGTGCAGCTCCCTTTGTATCAATATCAGGCACTTTACTGAAATAACTAACTTCCAGTAAGTTTAGAATTGGAAGCACAAGACATTTATTTAGGTGTGCTTTGTAAAAATGTGTAAAACCCTCCAAAAGTCAGATCTGAAAAGCAAGACTGGTGTGCCTTTGCTTTGATGACTATGGTGATCTAATAAACTTTTAAGAAAGGACATAATAGAAATCTAGGTATTTAAGTCCTCATGATATTCAACATAATGCAGAAAAAGTAGTTAGAAACTCCCATTGAATCCCTGAATAGCATATTTTTGTTTATTTAGCTATTTTGGAATTAATATATTCAAAATTTAGAAGAAATAAAACAGTGCAAATTCTGTACATAGTTGCATGTTCAAATGCCTGGACAGAAAATGTAAGAAAGCATAAGAATTAGTTTAGCTTTAGGAGTCATTCTAAAGGAAAACGTTATGAACTTCATATAAGTATATGAAAAGGTCAGGTGGTCATCATTACAAAGTTTTGATAAGAGACATTCAGTGCATTATTTTCAGGCTCAATGACCTTTCACAAGTTCCATTTCAAATCATTTATGTAGGTTTTGGTATGATCTCCAGAGATTTATTGCTTTTTTTAAAATGTCTTCTGCAGCCTAAAGCTGAGAGATTTTATAAGGCTAGTTGCATTCTCTTGCCTAATGTAATGGGCCTTGAAATTAAAACATACATATTTTAAGGCATAATAAACACTTTGGTATCCAGATATTAACACTTGCAGTTTAAAATATTCATGCAGAAAAATCTGTTGGAAAATATTGCTCTGTATTTAGCAAATTGATCAGAAGCTAATGCTTCGAAAATTTTGGGGGGTTACACTTTAAAGGGTACAGATTAAATGTTTAACTAATAGGTATAATTTAGGACTCTAACATTATTTGAAAGCTCATTCTAAGTAGTCCTATCCCCAGGTCTATTCAATAAGACGTAGAATACATATGAATCATTCATCCCAGAAGTATTACATAGAGAAAACTGCATGCAGTTCTACTCCATAAATAATCATTCAACGTGAAAAAGCACTTGGAGACACCCAATATGTAAATAGTGGGGTGAGTCACAAAATACCTCCATTGTTTGAGGGTTTAATGCATTTGGAAGTGACAGCTGTTAATGGGACTTGAGTTTCTAAGTTATGAGCCTCCAGATTTTTAAAGGGATGTAGCTGTTCCTGGGCTCGCAAGTGCCTAAACCCCTGTAGAAAATGAGATCTAGGTGTTACAACAATGAGCATAGCAGCACCTACATCCCTTTAAAAATGTGGACCTCCTGAAGATTTTGAAAATCTTGCAAAATCATAGGGAAAATTGTGATGAGTGCAAAAAGCCATGGAGGTGTTTTAACAGTAGCTTGTTTCCTGGGTATCATTTTGTACTCAAACATTTTTTTTAAAAAAAGTGTGTGCCAATAACTGAACAGATTTAAACAGAGCACAGTATTTGCCATATCAGAGCCAACCTTTATAAACTCCTTCTAACACAATCTTTTAAACAAACAACATAGGAGAGGGAGAAACTTCTCTAAGGGTATGTCTACACAGGAGTGTTATTTCAGAATTAGGGATGTAAAATTTTGATTAATTAGCTAATTTAATAGTGAATGCAATTTGAAATGCAGGGCTGTTGCTGCACTTCAAAGGAGAAAGTGTTGCTGGGAGTACGGCCTCAGCAGTGGATTCAAGCAGTTTCCCACTGGCCCTGTGCTTCTCATCGCATTTCAAAGCAGCAGTACCAGGTTCAGGCCCTGGGATGACCATGACACTGCCGCTTTGAAGCACCCTCTCTGCTTCCCCCCTGTCTTGCTGCCTTTTTCAGATAGAGGCTGCAAGGGGTGGGGAGGAAGCGACTAATCGAATAGCATGTCGACTATCCAATGAGCAAATGCTTATCAGCTAGTCGACTAGTCATTTACATCCCTATTTAGAATAACTGATGTTATTCCGAAATACCATAGTCCACATCCACACTGCAATTTCAAGGACACTTACTTACATGGGAGAGTATCAGTCCCTATAGAAAACATCCCATTAACTTCAATGGTGTAAGGTCAAGTCTTTAGCGTTTCATCCATAGTCCATGGAGGACAATGGAAAGATCAGGCCTCTGGTGAATGACGATGATAAGGCCAGATTTGGGAGTTAAATGCAACTTTTGCAGACATTAGGCTTTTACGTATTATGATATTTTTAAGCATATCCAATATCACAACAAATATGATTTTTAAACCAAATGTTGGTCTACCCGGAGGTAACTGGTTATTCAACAAAAAACATAGTCCAAGCATTTTAAGATATTTATTAGTATAATTCACTGCCGGATTATAGTTCCTTGAATATTTTTTATATACAAAGTAAAAATTGAATTCTGTTGAACAGAGAGCTTATGAGACCCTGAGCCAAAGCAAGTAGGTCCCCTCTCTACCACTTCTGCTTTGCAATCCTCTCGACCTGCCAGGGAGCGGAGTTGGGGGGCAAGGGCTTCCCCTGTTTTCTGACAGGAGTGCTAGGTTGGTGGAGCAGAGCAAGATCCCATATTAATATGAGTGAAGGCATGTTTATTTATAATTCTTACTTCCCAGTTGTGCTGCCTGATGGGGAGATAGGGTCAGCCCAGGAGCTGCATGGGATACACAAAGAAGAGCACTCTCTCAATTGATTGCTTGCTATGAGTGTTCTGAAGGCCATTTCTGCATATGGAATCTCTGACCTAGACTTCCCCATTTGAAATGCTAATGAATTGGTAACTTGGAATGTTCACTTTGTATTGGAATGGATTTTTTTTCCTAGCTGTTCAGTTTGCTTTTATTCACATATAGCAATTACTATGGGTACCTCAAAATGCTGAGGCTAGAAGCTTTTCCCAGGGGCAGATTACTTCCCCTCTAATTGAGTCCTTGAATAGTTCCTGTTTGTGGCAGCTCAACTCTGATTAGACCTTGCCAAGTACTACAAGCAACATGCTATTACTTTCCTTATGACAAATGATAAACAGACTGTACACTGCAGACAATGGCCTCTGGAGACTAACTACTGCCCACATAAACTGCAAAATATTAATAACAATGAAAATACATTTGCATTTTTAAATTTTATAATGGGTTTAATGAGTGTAGGTTAAGAGTTTTATTCAAAAGCATTCTTAGCTAGTTAAGACACGCAGCATGGCATGTTCAATACTTGATTAGTGTCCTACAATAGTGTAAAATTTCATATGTATAAAAAACTAGAAGATTAATTTGGTGTTGCTTGGGTGCTTAACTCAATTTTTGGTTTTTGGAAAATAAAATGAAAATGTACATACTTCATTTAAATAGTTGCTTTCAGCTGGGGATAAAGGCTTCCGTATGCAGGCTTAGCAAAACAGGAGAGAGAGCATCATGTTTCACTCTACTTGGAGAAAATAAAACTGCCAATATGAAGAGAGTGTTGTTAATTTCTAAGTTAAATTGAATGATCTATTGGATATGAGCAACTTTACAATACTTGCTCAGGCACCTTCTTTTATCTGCACATCTTAACTGCTATAATTACTTTATTGAAAGCTGAACCTAAAAAAAGGGAAGTTGATCCAATTCCTGCATTACAAGGACAAAACCAGAAACATGCAGTGTAGTTGTATCCATGTTGGTCCCACCATATTATAGAGACAAGGTAGGTGATTGTGAGTACAACTAGGCTGTGGAATTGCTCTGTTCCCTTTCCTCTCTGTCTCGGGGTACTCATCATGCTACTCTGCTGGTGACAAGAAGCTCCTTCTGAGTTTGTCCTCACATAACCATTAGCACATGAAAGCACACCTAAAGTTACATGCAGGCACTCAGTCGCTCATATTTACTTAAACCCGAAAATCCCCAACCCTAAACTCAGAATTTTACTGTCTCAAACTACAAAAGACCTTCTTGATTAGTGTAAATTCATTAATTAGTTCACCACTCCTTCCAAACAGAGTGGATATGCTTTAGCCTTGGTAATTTGAATAGCTTGACCAAGCACTTTATACCAACTCACAGGTAAAGATAAAATATTAAAATAAAAATCTATCTTTCTATAGCTAAACTTAAGTGACTACAAGTGGTAGGCATAAGTCAGAAATGGTTACATAGGAAAACATACATTCTAAATACTAAACTTTCAGACTAAGCAAGAGTTTAATCGAGCAGTTTTTTTCTCACCTCAATGGGCATTGAAAACAGTTCACAGTTCTTAATATCCAGGCTGAATTCCTTACTCAACCTGGGATCAGTTTCCACAGTCTACAGGCTGTTTCTTCCAAATATTCTTGTTGCCTTCATAGTAGGTGGAGGAGATGAAGTCAAGTACCCTCATTTTGTACTCTTTTTGTGTATTGGGAGAAGGAAGGAACAGACAGCCCAGTTGTGTGCATGCTGTGCTGTCTCAGGAGTCTTCAGGAGGGGCTCACTAGGAGAATAGATTTCCCCTTAAAGGGCCACATTGGTGGCTAATCCTGATGTAAATCTGTCTTGAGGATGTTAGTTGCTCCTTTGTTGCTACTAACTTGCAACACATTTATTCACAAGTAGATAATCAAATTTCCTAACTGCAAATGGTCATATGTATTATTCAACACAATAATAATCTTAACTGATGACTTTTCAAATGATACCTAGTACAAAAACATATGTGATTATGATAGTGGTGAAGGATAGAAGAGCTCTATATGGCTCAAAAGCTTGTGTCTCCCAACAGCAGAGGTGGTCCAATAAAAGATATTATTTTTACCCACTTTGGTCTTGAACTCTAGGAGCAGTATTTAAAAAAAGACCGAAAACAAAACACAAGCTAAAGGATATGGCTTTGCCTTTGTAGAAGTGCATTTTTATCACCGTGGCTATGGGGAATTAAAACAGAGAAGTTGCTGACTAAGGTCAAGGCTGTGAAAATTGACTAATCAGATAAGTCTGCTGTTCTGTTTTATCTCAATTTTAAAACTTGGGCGAGGCAAACTAAATGAGGTTCTAGCGTGGAAGAACCTAAAAATCAATTTATTTCTCACCACAGTAGGCAGAATCCCACAATACTTGTGACATCTGTATGGATAGTGAACAGTCACTTCCCTTTAGCTTTCACAGAGCATTATGCACAACTAGTAGTAAAACAGATTTCCTTAAAATGTAGGCTAGTGTTCAGAATACTTGCAAATGAAAATGTTTTGGTTCCCAAATGTATTATTGACAAGGACATGCATGAAAGGATGATGATGACAAATTATTTCCTATCATATAGAAATTAAAGCATTTTAATGCGCTCTCATCTGAAGGCCACAAAAAGGAGATATGTTTAGTTATCATGGCTCTTTAAATCAACAAAATCTTCGACAGTATATCTTGATCACTGTGATTTTGACATCTGTAGTTTGAGCTGTATAGCCAGCCTTATAAAAACTGTAGGGAGTGAGATGTTAGATATTTTTTCAATAATTTAGGGATATTATTTAATAGTATTAAATATGGAATTATATTTAGCCATTCACAGGATATAACTGAAAGCATTCTGTATCCAAAGACTATTTTGTAAAATAAACTCAGATTACATGATGAACTGAGAAGGGATGTTCTTGGAACATCCTTTTATATTTTACTGGCACATTTACCTGGCATTCCTTGACATCTTAAAGAGGGCTTCAGGATTGGGAGTGAGGAGGGGCTCTCAGAAGGGAGTGGGGGATGATTGATAGGCAGGGAGGTCATTTGTACCATGGCTGTTTGCTCTCATTTCCTGACAAGGACAGAAAGGGAAAAAGCCAAGTACATAGCTCCTCTGCCCTCCCTAGCCAGAGTGAGGAATACCGCAAATTGTGCACTTCCCCCTTGTTCTTTAATGAAAGGGAAGAGTCAGAAGTGTCTCAGTATGAATCTGGGGAGAGGGGGTCACCTATCCCCCTAACTCCCCAAAAAGGTACCTGCTGGGTGGGAGGCTCACGGGAGGAACACGCCCGCAGCCAACCCCTTTCACCTCCCTGGTGATTCTGTCTCATTTCTGTATGGATTTGTGAGAAGCAATCCCATTTCCTGGCATAACCAAACCTTTACCTTGCTTTAAGTTATGATAAGGGAAGCTATATACTGAATTGTGTTGTCCTAGCTCTTACTGTTTAAAAGGATAAACTTAAAAAAACAACTAGATGTAGATGGTATCATGAGCTTTCGTGGGCACATGATACCATCTACATCTAGTTGTTTTTTTAAGTTTATCCTGTACAGACTAACTCAGCTACCCCCTAAAGCTGTTTAAGAGGAGTTCTTGAACAAACAGAGAAACAGACAGACTCACTCTCTCAAATAGATATCAGATAAATCAATAAGGATGCTCTGGCAAGATGGGAGTGGGAGGATATTTTGTACAGGAGAGGCATGAGAAAAAATAAAGAGAAGGGAGTGAAAAGAAATCAATGGCATTGCTAATGGAGCAGGCAGGTAGATGGGAAAATGATTTCAGACACTGGATGCAGGTGGGGTTTGTCAATGTCTTGAAAGTGATCTATAGCCATGATATTTCAGCAGCAAGAGTTTTTCAAGAGTAATGGGCCTCAGGAAATCTGCATATGTGGTGATAGAATGATTATTGTATGAAATCCTAGGGCATACAGGAAGTGTCAGAATCTAAAATATGACTTTTCTGTTTTAATCTGAGTAACATATCTAAGATTTGGATACACAAGAAGAATATCCAAGCAAACAGGCAAAGATGACCCTAAGACTGCAATCCTGGGTGAGAGAAAGAGAGAGTAAAATGCTATCACCCTCTTTCACAGCACAGCAATGGTGAAAAATAAATGGCAATGAAGTGAGTCTTCAGTTACAATGAGATTCGGTTTAGCTTTACTAAACCTGAATTGATGGCAGGCAATCAATGAGATATGAGGAGATTGGCAAGAGTCCCAAAATACAGGAGTGGGGAAAGAAAAGTTAGATATGGAGAAATAGGATTTGCCATTTGTCAGTATATAGATAAGTGAATCAATGTGTCAAGGAGGTAATAAAGCATAGAGAGAATGGAATGGGGCACAGACAGAGATAGTAGGGAGAAAGAACTGCTAAAGGAATCGATGAAAGAAGAGAGAGGTAGGGGAAGAACTGAGCCACAAAAACCATGGAACACAGGATATTAATGTGTTCCCTAATAAACAGTAGCTGACTGGAAAGTTTGAGGAAGAGGAGGCTTCAAGTCTTGGCCAGGAAGATACCTAGAGGTTTTGTTGAGCTAAGAGGACAAAAAGTCTCATTATACTAAAAGCAAGATGAATTTGGAGAGGAAGGCAAAACAGTTATTATATAAAGACTGATCAATATATTTAAAGGTACAACAGGGGAGGAGAAAAGAATCAAGAGGGGAAAGTAGCTACAAGAAAAGAGGATATATAACAGAAAGAATGAAAGCAAGAAATGAGGGAAGAAAGTGGCAAGGAGATAATAAAGGTTCTTTTCTATTTATATCAGAAGATTTCTCTGGTTTTGCTTGCATCTTCTATAATAAGTGCTGCAATAAATTGCCTATAGTCCTCTATTCTTTAAGAAAATGAAGGTAATTTTTTTTCAATCTCCATAATGGTCAGAAGTTAAGAAAGACGGAAATTGAAGATCAGCTACCTATAATGAAATTTTCTGCAAATTAGGTTTTTACTAAGGATATTTAGAGAGCTTTGGCTACACTCCAGTGTCAAAGAAGCAGAAAAAAATTAACTCTTGAAAGGCTAAATTAAATAAAAATTGTAAAGGACAGAGTACAGAATAAAAATACAGTACTGTTCTGTCATCTGAAGTAGTGGGTTGGGCCTATGAAAGCTCATGATACTGTCTGTATTTTGTTAGTCCCTAAGGTGCTACAGGACCACTCATTCTGTACTAAAAAAAACTTTTTAAAAAGTGCAGGAATACTGTCAATGGGTAAACATTTTAGTTCAAACCATCTGTATAATATATCCCTACGCCAATAAATCACTCTTCATATATTTACAAGTTGCGCTTTAGAAATAAAGTCAGTCAGTGAAAGGTCAGTATATAAGAAATGTGCAGTACAGCAGTTCAGTAGTGTATAGGAAGAAAAGCACATATCACATGCATCTATACACTTTAAAAAAATTGTGTGCACAAATCACACAAGTACTTATGCACAAAGTTTTGATCATTATTTTTAATTGAAACTAGAAGTAGTACAGGAATACAGGGTCTTTTCACATGCTAGGCCATAACCAAACTAATAGTACCATTTGGGAGTATCAATCATAATTTGAGAATGCTTGAAGTACCTGAAAGGTAAGGGCTAGAATGGAAGTTGAAATTATTCCTTCCCAAGAGCAAATACCAGCTGCATCCCCAATAATGTATTAATTACTTATTGTTTCTTTATGGCAAAGACCAATTTTCACAAATCAAGCTGGCAGACAATTTAACATCCTGTTTTCCATTAGCTTTTACAGTTATAGTTTGAACAGATGACTGTAGCATTCTCAAACAGCTGGTTTGAAATATTTGCACTGGCACAGGGTCTGCTCCAAATGAGCGAGGCTTTAAAATAGCCTTCAAGTCTCAGGAACAACATTAGTTTATCATGAAGGAACAAGACTTATCATGCAATTAAATACAAAGAGAAAATGTAGCAACTCTTTTACTGCCATTTGCATGCAATGGAATAGATATTTAAAAAAATGAAATACACAAGGGCTACGTCTAGACTGGCACGATTTTCCACAAATGCTTTTAACAGAAAAGTTTTTCTGTTAAAAGCACTTTTTGCGGAAAAGCGTCCATGCCAATCTAGACGCAGTTTTCCGCAAGAAAGAGCCGATCGCCATTTTCGCGATCGGAGCTATTTTGCGCAAAACAATACCGTGTTGTCTACACTGGCCCTCTTGCGCTAAAGCATTTGCGCAAGAGGGCTTTTGCCCGAATGGGAGCAGCATAGTATTTCCGCAATAACACTGACAATCTTACATGAGATCGTCAGTGTTCTTGCGGAAATTCAAGCGGCCTGTGTGGAAAACAGCTGCTTTTGTGGAAAAACTTGCCAGTCTAGATGCAGCCAAGATATAAATAAGTAGCAGGAGGAGACAGACCAATTTAACTATTGACAATTTCCCTTTTAGTGTCTTATGCTATAAATGTATTGTTACCTTTCCTATGAATTTTATCAATTATTTCTATATTATAAGACCAATACTTTATCTGTTTCCTTTGCACTGTAAAGAACAAGAAGCTATATGAAAGTATTTATTTTTACAATCATACAATTTAAAATAACTCATTTTCAAAATTACAAAGCCACCCATGACTATCTATATAAATGGGAGGGAGGTTGTTTTGCTGTAGAAGTCCTT